AAACGCGAGGAGGCGGAGCGCGAGCAACAGAAGCGCGACGAGGCACAACGGAAGGCACTCGAAGCGAAGAATGGCATACGCCAGATGCAGAAGGACGTGTTGGCGTTTCTGCAGCAGCACGACCTCCTTGATGAGACTGCGACAAATAAGTTGCTGCGCCACGCCGTGCGGCGGCCAAATGTGATGTGGCTGTTCTCAAAGATCAGCAACGCCGAAGATGCCGCCGCGGTTCTGTCGGATGTGACAAGCGGCAACACTGAGCGGCGCCCCGCTCCCGCTGCAGCTGCAACGCAGAGCGGAAAGGACGATGACGATGAAGGCGTAGAGGTGGAGGCTGTGCTGCGCTTCAATGCGCTGGTGGAGAAGAAGGAGCAGCAAACAGGCATGACGCGCTACGGCGAGCCTGTCAAGAAGAGCACTGCAGCAGACGCTGCCGTCTCTGAAAAGGCAAACAAGAAAAAGGGCACCACCAACGCCACCGGTGCGCCGTCGGCGGCGGCAGCAGCGAAGTGGGACGATGAAGACTTGGTTCGCCTGCAAAAGGCAACTGCAAAGTACCCGCCCGGGACAGTGGATCGCTGGCGCAAGGTGGCCACTATGCTGCGCGACAAGTTCACTGAAGAAGAGGCAATGGCAAAGGTTAACGAGCTTACAGCTGTGCTGCACCACGCTAATAATTCTAGCAATAATACTCGAACCGCGGCTCAGCAACCGGCGCCAGACGCCGTAAAGGTCTCTTCTTTGGGAGCTGCTGCAGCGGTGGTGCCCCCGGTCCCTTCCGCAGAGGACTGGACGGTGAAACAGCAGAAGATGCTGGAGCAGGGGCTGCGGGAGATGAAAGACTATAAGGAAAAGGATAAATTTCAAAAGATTGCGGCGATGGTGGATGGAAAGAATGCCAAGGAGTGCTTTGAGCGGTTTAAATATCTATGCGCCATGAATAAGCGCAAGTAACTCTTAACCTTGAAAGAGAGGGGGGAGGGTTTTTCAAGGCTAAGAATCGCATATCTCTACGTGTGTGTCACGCGCTATTGTGTGCGTTTTTTTTTTT